AAATATATTTCACAATAAAAACATTGTGAATAACTCAGAGAAATATAATATATTCTGTTTTACCACAAAAATGGCAGTTATAGTTATTATTCTGATATCTGAGTTTGTCTTTAAACCACATGACTTCCATTGATGGCTATACTCTGTTAAAATCTCTTAAGAGATTTTAACAAAAAACCAAACTTTTTAGAAAAAAACCAGGGACTAACTTTGAATGTAAAAATGGATTCATTAACCATTGGTAAGCATGGGAAAATTGTTGTTTACTCCAAGAAAATTCATTTTTTGGCCGAAACGAAGAGTTATTATCCCTTTAAACATATTAACACGCCTCCTCCTGGCGAAGTAGATTTCAGAAAAGCGGTGATTACACAAGCACGTTGGAAACAAAAGAATGCGTGTAATCTGTTAAACTGATTGCATTCAGCGAGAGTCCTCGCAGAGTTGGATCGATCTAAGCATTCAAATATATTAGGCTCTAACTTGGTTGCACAGAGCGAGAGAGAGAGAGAGAGTAAAATCGGACGTGAAGAAACTCACTCTGACACTTTTGGAAGCAATTTCCATTTTCACTCTTTTTCCCAACTTTCTTATAATTTCAACAGTTAGATTATAAGTAAGAATTGCCCAAATTATTTTGACCTTACTTAGTAGAAGTTAAGTCTTTAACCTTGCTTCGTAGACACTGCATATGTGCAAAAAAATGGTCAGATATCAGCACTAACCTCGCAAACACTGCGATTCATAAACAATAATAATAATAATTCGCCAATTCCATATTGTCTTACCTTCCTTTCAAAAACTGGATTGTCAATCCCTCCGTTAATTTTCTCATCCCGCGAAAGCTCCAGCGACGATTTGTCCTGCATGGCTGCTGCTAGTTCTGTGAGCAACGCTAAGTGCACGAGTAAACTGCGTTTGCATACCCCTTCAAACTACATCCCCTGTTCTGCTGGGGCAACGGAATAAGTAACCCCAACTTTTGCATACTGAGATCTACATTTATCTAAATTGTCCAAACTGTGACGCAACTACGTTTCATTTAAATTCTGCACAGTTCTACGGCTCAGATACTTGTAATGCTAGTGAAGATTAGAGTGAATGGCATTTTGAAGAACCCATTACTTCTATTTTGGCTTAGGATATCAATTACGACACGCAACATTGCTCAAGTTGTGAGACTTAGATCGTGTTAGGAAATGCAAATGAGTTTTTTTACGAAAGATTTTGCTCAAGATATGGTCCTTCGACAGATTTTGAAAAGACAACAGAACTTCGCACAAAATGAAGCATCGTATTTTGAACTCAGCTGTGATTTAAATAATAAATAGCATAAGTGCGGCGTGTGAACGCTAGCGCGTGTGAAAAAGATTGCCAAGTCTTGCAAAGAATGACTGACAGAATTAGTAAAGCATGTGAATATTGTATGCAAGAACATAATGATAAAGCAAAAATGCTTTTTCAATAATTACCAACGTAAAATTGCTAAAAAATGGTGTGTCGTTGTTGTAAGTCCTGCCTGTTTTGGCCCTTTAATAAAAGCGTTACGCTTGTTAGTATGCTATGGTAATGTGAGACAAAAACTGTCATGTACAGATAATATGACGAAAATGAATGTTGAAGTCATCTTGAAATAATAATTAAATTACAAAATAAAAATCTACCTTATGGTTACATTTCTCGTCTCGCTTTAAGAAAAATGCAGGGCAAACAAAACCCAAAAGTTTCAGTACGATTTTGAAATGTCTTGGCAAAACGTAAGACAAAGTCATTGCATTTTTAATGTTCGCGCTATTTGAAGAGAGATATTACAGGAAAGTGAAATGGCATCGGAAAAAATGAAAAGTTAAGGAATATATATATATATAGTATATAGAGAATATATAGAATAATGGTATTTTAATAATAATAATAATAATGATGATAATAATAATAATAAATTCACTGTGTTACACGTTTGAATTACATTGCTTTATCAGAAAAAGGTCTCATACTTGGAGGAATTCATCTGCTCAGAAGTGAACAGCATCACATAACGCATCACATAGCAGTATCATTTAGCTTCGACAAAGCAAGTGTTATGTCTTCTTTAAAAAAGTGCCGCTGGCTGTCAGTGCATTTTTTTCTCTCTGACGGCACGCGATTTAAAGGCGCCTTAACAATGGCTGTATTTCTATCACCCCTTTATCAAGCCAGGTGGTGACTCGGATAACCATGCTCTTGTACGTGGAATGAATTCGTGTTCAACTTCAAAGTTCGAATTAATATGCATGCCGCACGGTCGGGTGAATGAGAAAAAACTAGTGCAGTACGCAGGGCAAACTCACGTTGAACGTCATGTGTAAGGGCGAGAGACGCTTCTACAACTTTCTAGATAATAGCAAGACAAAGGAAACAAGTGTTCTTCGAATATTAAATTAAGTTTCTGATATCAAAGAAAAAATTTTTAGTCCCTGTGATAAACCATGAAACCTGTTGCTAGCACTGCGAACGCCCACTGTTACTTCTGATTGTGTTGCAGCCTTACATGTTAAAATGTATTAAAACCACTAGCGAGGGAATATCTTTGAAAAGTTTGAGAATTTGTTATTGTCTGAAAGGGACCAAAGAACTAAACCGAATTACACACAACAGATAAAAAAAAGGATGGAGATAAAAAATTTCAAGGTATTAAATACTCTCCCGTGTGCTAATTGATGATATTAAAGTGAATGCAAATTATATTATTTAACAGGCCTGTGAACTGCCACTGTCCCCGTGGGAATAACTTAGAGCAAAGAAATGAGTGACATTAATTGTTATGTGAAGTAAAAGAATGGTTTCTGTTGATCCAAGTTATTTAACCTTGTTCATCCCAGTAGAGGTCGTTGGCCCGTTAACGGCCCAAGACATTTTTTTTTACAAAAAATCTTTAATGCGCGTTAATTTTTATGAAATTTCAAGAACTTGTCGAGTTTTTTTAGCTATCGTAATACTGTATGTATCTGCATTACATTGCTTGCACCTGATACTTGTGCCTTTTTTTCTTGTTAGAAAAAATGCTGGGGTCGATTAAAGTTTAGTGGCCAAAACTTCAGAACACTTCCAGTTAGCAAAGGGGTCATTGTTACCCGATAACAATTAACAATAAGAAGGGCTGCTTTCACTGTGTGGAGAAAGAAAGAATAATTATGTTATTACTTTCCCTCTTTCTCTCCCAGTCGCATTAAAGGATAACAACCCAATGAAAGCCTTGTTGCTGTCGGCCTCTAAAAAAGGAGAAAAATGCATCCTTGACAATTTACGAGAAAGAACGTTAATGGAGTCAGATTTTTCAGTACTTCAGAAATGCATGAGAAAGCGTATTTAGTATCCTTCGCCTGAAAACAATCATTCGATATTCCTATTATTCTTAAGAAATTAATACAGGTAAATTAATAATGAAATGTTTTTTAAATCATCTTTCTTTAGTTGGCGTGTAAACCAAAACAAATCTTCAAGTTTGAAACATTCAGAATTATCGAAATTGGAAATTAATACAAACACAATGAATAAAAGGAGAAACAAGACGTTCATTCCAATGAAAGAAGAGATTTATTGCACTGACAGTAATGAAGATTGCACTTTGTTTTATCGACTATTGATATGACTATTGTACAGTGTTTTTACCTTTTGATATTAGATACTCACTTTCATACCTAGGCAGAATTACAGACTAAGGCATTCAAATAGTTAATCACTAGCATAGCACCGGGTGTTTTGATTCCAAAATGTCCAAACTATAAACTGATTATCTCCAGCGTCGCAGCAGTTACTTCGACCTTTCTGCTCGGTCAATCAAATTTTACGTGTCACAAATTAAAGAAATAAGCCAACCAGCGGAAGATAAGAACGAAAAATAATAACAAAACTACTTTTGCAGAACATCGGTACGTCTTTCGAAACACGTAAATGCGTATATATAGAATACGTGTTCACAGCAACAACGTACAGCACATACGTACGGTTAAGTACGTACAAGCAGAGGGAAGCCCCTCTGCTTACCCCAAAAGCAGGGACTCGGAACACTTCCTGGTCAGTACTTTGGGGAAGTACGCAATTATGCGTAAAGATACGCCATTGCTGGGAAAGATTTCTCGATGTCCTCTCACAGATTACTAAAGTTCACATCCACATTCCTATTCTTCGTTTGATCGTCTAAAACTCTCCGATGTGACCCGCTCAAAATAATCAACTTTACAAAAAAGTTTCGGTGCGTACTGTTAACTGTTTGACTAACCAGCTAAATAGTTTGGGAAATATGTGCTCCAAAAATTAAACTAAATAAGGTGCTAAATTGATAAAACTAAATATAGCGACCAAAAATAAACAATTAAACTAATAACACAATCAAGTAGCTAGTTTAAGAGAAAATTTCCCAGTGCCGTTTACGTTAAACTAAATAAGATGCCAAATTAATAACACTAAATATACCGACCAAAAAATAAACAATTTAACTAATAACACAATCAAATATCTAGTTTAGGAGAAAATTTCCGAGTGAATAACTAGCTATATGACTAACTATGGCATTAGAATGCTTAGATGGTTAAGCTGTCTGTGAGAGTGGCTTGAAATCATCTGCCCTCGAAGTGAAGTGAACATCAATGTGAAGTAAAAGAAAATTTTAAATTTGCACCAAGGGGCCTAAAATTAACTTAACTTTCCAAAGCAAATAATCCTCAAATTTATCTAACTTAAAATTTAAAGAAAAAAATAGAGATGCTCGAATTATGTAATAAGTAGACGTCTAATTTTAAGTTGAATAATAAATGCTGCCAGATGGATTAAATAAAAGTTGAAATAAAATCCTTTGGAAAAGTGAGGAAACATGAGTAATTAATTAGAGCTATTATAGATTGTGATATCTTTCGGTTTCAGAGCTGAATCATTCTATTTCATTTTCCGTGCCATTGTCCAAAAATGAGATAAAGTTTGCCGCTTTGAATTTTTAGTTTTTCTGTGTAGTTTAAGCTGAATTTCTACTGCTTTCTCTGCTTCTTGTATGTAATAGGTTTCCCGGTCTTCCGTCCATGAAGAGGAGGCTTGGCAGGACTCTCGGGCCTGAAGCTGAATTCGGCCATCAAATGTTCTGCCGCGGTGAATTCCTGAACGGCAGTGTCCAGGAGCTTTTGGCAGCGATTGAGGAAGATTTCTGTCTTATCTGCTGAAAATAGTGGAATTAACTTTATACAAAGTCAATATAGAACCTAAGTTTATTATCGAAATAGCCAACAGCATGCCCTCGTTTCTAAATGTTCTGTATTTGTTGCCCTCTTATTTCCCGCATAGGTTTATTACACTTTTTATATAGCAGACAATTTTAGACGAACAGAATATGTGATCTGTAATTAGTCGAAGAGGCTTATTTTTACATTAATGTTGACCGTAGTTAACAGTTGCATTCCCTTGGTATAAAAGATATTCTTAAGAAACAGTATGGAAACAACATTCACGTACCGTTGGTGTGTCTTCGTGCTGCTTTGTCTCCTTTGGGAGACTGCATTTTGGCGGGCTTTTTAGTTGGATCACAACGACCCGGTGGCATTGGTGAGGTTTTTCCTTTGAAGAACTCGACGCAGTCGCTGATAGTCTTCTCGGCCTGGCGCCTCTTGGCTGGTCTTTTGGTGGCCTGGGACGAAATGGTTGCTGCGTTGTTCTCCAGGTCTGGCAAAAGCTTGCGCTTCTTTGTATCATTGAGCTCTTTCTGGATACCCGGCAGCCTTTGTTCGGTGCCAGCGCCCACGATCTTTGGCAATTTGAAGCCCTGTTCAACCGGTGCGTAGCTTGGCTTGCGGAGCATGTTTTTCGGTTGCCTAATTGAATATACAGTGTATGAATTCACATTTTAAGTTTTATTTCTCGCCAGTGGAAAGAACACTTCATATCTATAACTATTCTGTATTCAACAGAATATTTAGATCGTTTCAAAACGTGAGAATATTTCCAAATTAACTAAGTATTCATCCAAGAAAGCAGTTAGTGTCAGATTTCCTTCTCGTGACTTTCTCAGAACTTCGCAGGTCTTTACCCCCCCCCCCACCCCCCCACCCCCCAACCCACCAAAGGAAAAAAGAAAGAAATGAGGGACAAAGCGTCACCGGGCAGTCAATATAAAGAAACATGTCATTTCCTTTTCTTGGCGTCCTTTATCCGTCTTTTAATTGTTTTTTAAAAGTGTTTTAGAAATTTAAACGCGAAAATAACAGTGTTTACAATTTCCATACCCTATCTAAATTCCATAACTTTGAAATCTTGCCTACGTAGGCTACTTAGGTCAAGTCTTTTATAGGCCGTTAGCATTGGTCATTTAAAACTTTCCTGATGTCAGAGCAATATATAAGGAAAAAACTTTCAATTCAACTTACCGCTCACGCCTTAAAAGCCGTAGCTCCTCCCTATAAATTTCTCTTTCCTTTGGCATTCCAAATATCTGACGATGCGGTTTAGTTGCTTTTGAGAGATATTTATCACTATGCGTGATTTTGACGTCACACAGTGATAATTAGCATACGTGACTGTGTCGTCACGGTTACATTCGCGCTTGCGCGGTGGCTGCAGATCTTTTGCGCATGGAGTCTCGTAACACATGGTGACGTCCTTATAAGGGCATTTTGCGATACAATGTGAAGCAGTAATGTGAGAAACACCCGAAAAAATATTCCTTAATGAAAAAGCATCACTCATAGAACAGAATAGAATATTTCAAGTTTTTGTGCTCATGTTGTATTCAAATAAACATACACTTAAGCAAAAGGCGGGCCCTTTTGCTCAATTTTTTCTGCATAGGCCTATATCAGAAAACTCGCGAATAAGTGAAGTCAAAATATTAATGAATAGGTCTGTGACAAGTGGGTTTATTTAGAAAGCCGGATTAAATATTATTTGATAACTTATCAGAGATAGTAAAATGACCGTCTATTTATCTAAAGACATAGGCCTATATGTGAATATCCTGTGAAAAGTCAATCTGTGGCCCTGGTAGACCCCTCCCCCCCATTCCGCCTGTTTAATTCCAACAAAACGTTTGTTTTACATATTAGATCTATAAGCTTGATAATTTGTCTTTGTTGCAACAAATATTAGACTGGGTTCCCCTGCCTACTCAGTAGATTGATCCATCTGGATCGGTCTAAATCCCTGGGGAGTCTCATTAAATTGCTATCAACCTAACCGGCTTAAATGTCTGTCACGCCTACCGAATCAGCTAGGGTAAAGGTAACAGCTTTACTAGGCGTGACACTGCCTCAACTTGAAATACAGCAAAGAAATCATATTGAATCAACATATTACAGTAATCTCTTGGAAAATGAAAATGTAAATTTATATTCCCAAAGTTGAA